AGCAAACATTTTGTTTACCATACTGGGGGCTCAGTGAGCAGTTTATTCACATCACAGAGAGGTGTCTCTTGGATCACAATCTATTTTCCGGGCTAAATCAAGAGGAATTAACATACTTCCAGAAATGAAGTATTTTCACAGCACTGCGTCCATCTGCAAATACCCACATTTCTGTGATTCTGTGATTTCCTGCAGCTCAATGAACTTGCTGCATAAGCCAAACAACATTCCTGTGTATTCAGCCGTGCAAAGAATGAATTTCTTCTACATAAAATGACACCCCGTCACACATCAGGTCTTACACAAGTAGAAAGCAAACCCGTATCGACTGGAAGGTGGCAAGGAGCTTCTTTAGCATTCAGAGTGTTATTGTTAATCTGTTAACTGCGGACAATCATCAAGTACTTTCTTTAAACCACACAAAACTTCAGCATGAATGCAGAAATCCAGACAAAGAGCACGTGTAACAGCCAAAGCTCAGATTCCTAGTGCAGCATGTGTTCAGATGACAGCACGGGTTCAAAGAATGGTGCTACAAACAGAAATCAGCCTGTGGTATCAGGCAGATCCTTTCCCTGGGTAGGATTTTTATGCTTCTGTACCTAACTATGCAAGGTTACGAGAAGTGGGGGGACTGACAGGGTCACCCAGGCACCAGCATTACACCAGCAGCAAGATTCAATAGGACTTGGGATAATCCAAAATGAAGGCAGAAAACGGTGAGGAACAAAACCAGAGTTAACTGTGCAATTACTTCTCTCTTGCCCTTCGCTCCTTCCAAGATAAAAGTACAGCTCTAGAGAAGCAGTGCAAAACTTCCATTGGAGGACAATTAACAAAGCTTGTTAGAGGATTTATCTTTTGAGGGTTGAATCACCTGGTCATTTTCATTTGCTGCAAACCAAAATAAAGCCTGATGTATACATTGCTATCTGGGGCAATTCTTGTTATCTTCAATTAAAAAAAATAATCAATCTCCTTTGCATTGCATTTTCTGGGGCAAAGTCAAATTCTTGTGTTGCTAACCAAGGGAAGTACTTTCAAAGGAGCACTGCACCCTGGCTATAAAGAGTGTTTTTTGAAATTCAGTAAGCAAATGCCACTTGGGAAGCCTTGGAAAAAATCTCAAGTCATAGTTAAAGCAAGGTAGAACAAGGAAATTTTAAAAAAAAATCCAACACCTCATCCTGCTCTCAGCAGGTCAGCAAGGCCTGTTAACGGCAGGTTTGCCCACAGTGCAGGATAATTAACAGAGACTGTGGCTGCTCCTCACAAGCACCATGTGAGGGAAATGCAGGGCAGAGCTGAGATGAATCATTTACAACAAAACTGACACAGCACAAAGTCAGCAGCCTGACACCTTGGGCTTCCTCCTGTGAAAGCTACCACAACTGTTCTTTACCCAAATCAGAAGAACATTCCCCCTAAGCAGGGCCAGAAGCCTACTGTGTGCAAACAGACACAATTCCAACCCCTCTCAAGCTGTTTGTAGGCAACGCGTAACCTCTAGGACCCCAACAAACCACAGCTGGTCAAGAACTTCAGGAAACAGTTGTAGGTCCTTAGGTCTTGAAGGTAGAGCTTTAGAACAGACAATGAAGACTCAAGTCCAATTAATTTCTACTCTTGTCAGAGGTGGGGGAGATGTCAATTGCTCCTCAAGAAGTGCCAAATTCTCACTTGAACATACTGACAGAATGCTGCAATTGCCTTTCCCTCCAGTCAGGTTGTTTCCAGTCACCAGGGGGAAGAGTGGTTATGCTGACACTGTAGCTGGTATGAAAAAGTCACGGATCCAACCCAATGGCAATGGACATTTTCATCTTCTTCTCTCTGTTGAGAAACATGCTACACTCCCATGTGTGGTGTTTCAGCTCACGTACAATGAGCAGGAGCCACCAGAGAGCCACCACGAGTGCTGCCAAGATGGAAACTGGGCACTCTGATGCCAACAGTATTTCTTTAGACAAGCACACAGTAAGGAACTAAGAGCTAAGTGGAGTTGTGTAATTGGGAACTTGGCTTCACAGATGTCTGATGCTACAGAGGTATGATGCTACACACACAACACAACCCAGTTTAGTTATGTTACAGGAGTCTCCCCAAAATACCTAAAGGCAAACAGGACGGGACAATGGGAAAAGTTGTGACTGTATTTTCATAATTTCACATTCCCTTCTGTTCTCTGGAAAATCTCAGGGGCTCCCCAGGGTAAAGATGCTGCAAACATAATCAAACCTACCGGCCTGCATGGGGTATTTTAGGGCTCATCAGAGCATGAGCTGCTTGCAACTTCTTGAGTCTGAGCTCCCTGTCTCCACAATGACACCTCCCTGCCCAACGGCACTCACGTGCCTCCATCCTTCAGCACTGAAACTCTGCTTCTCTCCTTCACAAATGCAGATAAACCTCACAAAGCAGCTTTTCTACAGATATAACAGTTCCACAGCCATTACTTTTCCCTTACAAGTGCACTGCTTACCTGTGAGAAGAGGAAAAGGTGGCGCAGGACTTCATATCCAGCGAAGGGTCTGATAAGTCCAACTCGAATATTTCTAGAGAAGCACTCGTACTGAAGGTTGCATCCAGCTGCTGAGCTGATGTACCTGCAAAGAAACACGCTTGGCAGTGAGAAAGCTAGGAGACACAAAAAAGCAACTGCAAAAGCAGCACAAGGAGGGGCATAAAATCATTACCCTTCCAAAAAGGACCCTGGGACAGGGTCACATTTCTGTTATTTAGATGTAGTTCTACATAACTCTCCTCCCCATGGGGCCCTCTTTGGGAGTTTCTTAAAGAATATGAACAGGAAAAGCTTTGGGCAAGTGCCTCTCTCTCCCTGACAATGCACAGAAAATGATCAAAGTTACAAATGAGCAGCAAGGGACAGCAAACTAGGGGTAAGGATTGCTGTCACCTAACCCTGGCAGGAAGAAAAGGATGCTTGCTGACACTTACAGAGAGGAAAACATCTTTTCATGCACAGGACAACTGTTGAACTCCACTAAAGGCACCGCACCATATACCCTGCTCTAGCCTTCAAGACACAAAATAACTCCTTAAACTTCCAATTACGACCATGATTATAACCATTGCTTCACGGCAGCCACGACACGTAGCCTGATGGCACATTCTTTCCAGAAACTTACCTGTGGCCAGATAAATGGGGTGCTGCTGGGCAGGGCTCCATGCCTGCATGGCAGTACGATCGATTTCTTTCAGCTTCATTTCACTGAAAAAATCAAACCAAGAAAGGCAACGCTTAAACGAGCACGGGGAGAGCGCACTGCCCCGGATTCAGCAGCTCCATTAGGACTTGGCAGAAGCAGCCAGGGTAATGGTTTTCCTAAAGATATCCCAACAGAGAGCAAGGCACCTAAGCCATCCCCTCCAGAGGACACCAGGGGGGTAGGGGGGGGGGAAATTCTTCCTCAGCAGGCTAAGGCTGACACGTAGAGGAAACTGATGGTCACTGAGCAGACCATAACAGAGGAACACATGCAAAGCTTGCTCTGAAAAGCCCCTCTTCCAGCAGCATCGAAGCAACACAGTGGGCACCCTACATCCTCCTTCAGCCTCACCCCAGGAAACAAGCCCACCCTCCGGAAAACCCTCCCTAGATAGACCCCTTGCCCCCAGTCACCCTCAGCAGAGGGCGAAAAGCGGTTTAAAAGCCTCCACCGCCCCATTTTTTTGGGTCCTTTCAACACCCTGAGGGAGTGTTGAAGGAAGGGTCCCCTTCCCCCCCCGCCTCGGAAGCATCAGCCCCTCCCCAGGGAGCGCTACCGGCCCCGCACCTCCGCTTGCGGCAGCAACTGAAGGAAAAAAAAAATGATTATAATTATAGATTTTTAAAAAGGGTTAGAAACGGAGGGTTCGGCTGCCCTCACCTCGGCAGTGTCCCCGGCGCTCACCCGGCCCCGGCCCGCTCCAACGTGGCAGCCGCGGTCCCGCCTCCCGCCGCCGCTTTCCGGGCGCGCCCCGCACCTTCCGGGCGGCCGAGAGCGGGGCTCCGCCTCCCGCTAGGCCTGGGGAGGGTGTCTACGTGTGTGTGCGGGGTCTGCGGCCGCCTCCTTCTTCGGGGGGGGTGTGTGGGGGGTCTCCTCCGGGTTTCTCGGGGCGGGAGCGGCGATGGGCCCTGGGGGAGAGGGAAGACATGCGTTAGGGGTGGCCACCCCCGGTTTGGGGGAAGCGGGGGAGAAGGGGCTGCGGTGCCGCCCTGTCCTCCTCAGAGCAAGAGCAGTAATCACGGCGCGGTCATGATGTGAACAGCAGCGAGAGCTCATCATCGGACAGGGCGGGTGGTGGTGGGAGGGGAACAGCACCGGCAGGCGGGACTGGGTGACCCAGCCACCGCAACGGGTGACCCGCCGGCCTTCACAGCCCGGGGGAAGAGGAGGGGAGGCGGGGAACAACGCGGCTCCTGGCTGCGGGCCCCCGACCCACCTCTCACGGTAGCCGGAGCACAGCTCCGCTGCTGCCGCCGCCACCTCCCGGTTCTGCGGCCGCTCAGAGGGCAGACGCCGTGCCCGCTGCCCCGGCCTCATGGGGCGGCGGCGGCTCCCGCCTCTGCGCGGCGGAGCGCCCGCGGGCAGCGGGCCCGCTCTCAGGCATCCCTCAGCCGCGCGCAGCAGCCACAGCCCCACCACACGCCACCGCCGCGCGGCGGGAAAGACTCCCACCTCCCCCGGCCCCGCTATATATAGGAGCTGGAGGCGCTACTCCCATTGGCTGCGAGGATCGCCGCTTGTCATTGGCTGCTCCTTCCTCCACTGCTGCTACCGGTTGGCTTAGTTCCCTTACTTTTCCCACCTCCTGCTTACGTCACCGCAGCGCTGCCACACGGCCGCAAACAGCGGCCGCCGCGCCCAATGGAGAAGCGGCTTCCCTCAGGGAGCGTGGTGGTCCGCGAGCCAATGGGAAGGAGGGAGGTGGGAGAGCGGGCGGTGGCGGCAGCCAATGGGAGGGCGCGTTGGGTGCAGGGGGGCGGGGCGTGGCGTGGCTGCGGCGGCGGCGGGGCGGCGGCCATGACGCGGAGCTGCTCGGCGCTGGGCTGCACGGCCCGTGACAACGGGCGGAGCCGGGAGCGCGGCATCTCCTTCCACCAGTGAGTGCGGGCCTGCCCCGCGGGGGCACCGCCCGGGCGGAGAGGGGCGGACAACCCCCGTCCGCCTTCGCCTCCCTCCCTCCCTCCCTCCGTTCCTCTCCGGCAGGTTCCCGGTGGACGCCGCCCAGCGCCGGGAATGGATCCGCGCCGTGAACCGCGTGGACCCGCGGAGCCGCCACGCCTGGCGGCCCGGCCCCGGCGCCATCCTCTGCTCGCGGCACTTCGCCGAGGCCGACTTCGAGCGCTACGGCCTGCGGCGGAAGCTGCGGCGGGGCGCCGTGCCCTCCCGCTTCCCCCGCCCGGTGCGTGCGGGGGGCGGCCGCCCTCCTTCCCCCCCCCACCCCACCCCCTCCCCGAGCCGGGCCCCGTCGGTGTGTGTGTGTGTGCCCTGACCTCCCCTCTCCTCTCCCCGCCAGGAGCCGCCGGGCGCCGGCCGGAGGAGCGGCCCCCCCGGCCGAGGGGTGAAGCAGCCTCTCCCCAGCCCCCCCGGTACCGGGGGCACCGCCGGCGACCACAACTACAGCCTGAGGGGACGGCGGGCGGGGGCCGGGGCCGGGGGGGCACCGCCGCCAGACACCCGGCAGCAGCAGGTGCCGGCCCCCGGGAGATGCCCCCCCGAGCAGCGGCCCCGGCCGATAGCCAGCATCCTCTGGGAGCTGGCGGAGAAGCAGCAGCTTCCTGAGGAAACCGTGAGTTTGCTGCAGGCCCAGTTCCCAGGTACTGCGGGGGGGCGGCTGCTGAGGCAGGGGGCTTCAGGCTCTGTAACCCCCCCCCACCCCGGTTTTATTTATTTGCTTGACTTTGTGGCGTTGGTAACCCCTGGTGGTGAGACACCCAGAGCCCGTGCTGCTGTAGCACAAAGGCTTAGCGGTTTGGAGGTCCAGAAGGCAACAATCCATCCTGCACAGAGTCAAAATCTTCCTAAAAAATTCAATCATCTGGGTGGCAAACTGCTGGCACCAGTGCTCAGGTCAGACCCCTCACCGTGGCTGTTAAATCAGAGTGGGCCAGCTGACAGATGGCTCAAGAATAGAATATTTTTAACTAGGAAAACATTGTCTTTTGTGCCATCGAGAGGCGCAAAATCTGTTACTCTGTTAAGAGTAATAACATAACTTGAAGAAGCCGTTTCAAATTGCAGAGTCAGCTGTAAGTTAATCATAGAATCACAGAATGGTTTGGGTTGGAAGGGACCTCAAAGATCATCGAGTCCCAACCCCCCTGCCCTGGGCAGGGACACCTCCCACCAGACCAGGTTGCTCCAAGCCCCATCCAGCCTGGCCTTGAACCCCTCCAGGGATGGGGCAGCCACAGCTTCTCTGGGCAACCTGGGCCAGTGCCAGAACAGGCTTCTCTCCTGTTATGTCAGTTTTTAAGGAGCACCAACACATGGCAGCCTTTACTTTACTACCTATTGCCTTGGGTTCTGCAGTGTGTCTGCATTACACATCCCTCAGTTCAGTTATCAGCTATTTATTTGCTTCACTAAAGCTGACCTCTTATTTTGTTTTGTTTTTTGAGCAGATTTGCCTTGTGAGTTGCACAGCTGGAGGCAGATGGCAGAGTACTCACCAGAAATGAAGCAATTTGCTTGTATTCTCCACCTCTACCATACTAAGGCCTATGATTATCTACGGAAAATTGTCCCTCTACCTCATCCTTACAGCTTGACAAAGCAAGTTTTTATTCATTCATTCATTCATAATGTATTTTCAGGTACTCACGTAGAAGTAGGTGTAACCAGTCTGTCCTGAAAACATTCAGAGGTGATTTTTTATTAGTAACAGAAGCAGAGTGGGAAGCAAATGTCAAGAAATGCTGATACCTCTCATCTCACTTTAACAATTTTAGAGAAAGTGTGGAGTTTGCTAAGGGTTCCCAGGTCAGGAGGGGTGTGAGTGACAAAAAGCTCCATCAGGGCCTCAGCAGCTGTAGGTTCTAGGTGTGTTTTCCTGCTCGGTGAGGAGGAATGCAGAAAAGCAAGAGGTGCTTTACCACCTTGGCACGTGCTTTTGCCCTGTGGTGTGCGGTGCGGGCTTCTGAGAGGGGAGGGAAGAGCAAATAGTGGAAGGAAGAGGAAATATGAGTAAGGTCATCTCAAAAGAGGTAGCAGGAGGCAGTGTTAACATCTGCAGAGCTCCAGCAACAGCCAAAATCCAGGGAGGAGAGATGGGGGGGAACAAGCAGCAGTAGAGCAAAACAGAACTGACAGGACTATACATGTGAAACTTTGGGTCTGTTTTCTGGGAAAGGGCGAAGTCAAGAAGAGCACGTGAGAAGGTGAAGGACCACGTAAGGCAGTTAAGGCCATAGCTTTGGTTTTTCTCCCCTTGCCCCACAGGGACTCTGGGAAGTTGGTGAATCTTGACAAGGGTGTGTTTCAGAGTTACAGAAGGGAGGTGTTCCAGGATCAGGTAACACTGTGTCCTCCAAAGGATCTGCTCCAAGGGGCACCAGGAGGCAGTGGGCAGAGAGCATATTGAGGAGGGTAGCTTTCCACATGTGCTCTTGGAGCTTTCACATCTTCCAGGCTTGGTTGAGGTGTACAGTGTGGAGAAAGCCCTTTGGGAAGGAGAGCAGCCTGGTGTTGCTGGCCCTCTGCGTTGCCTAATGGGCACTTCTGTGTTTGGTTTATTTTTTTTTTCCTCTGTTGTCCTGATCTCTGTACATTGGAGAGGCAGGAAGCCGCTGTGTTTCTTCCCTCTGCGGTCAGTACTTTTGCTTGGCTTCCCATCCTTAGGGTGTGAGAAAAGAAACTCAGAATATGCATTAAGAAAGGCAGGGATGCTTTATACTGTTAGTCCTAGTCTGCTCTGCAGCTCTGGACATGGCTGACCATAGAATCATAGAATCATAGAATCGTTCAGGTTGGAAGAGACCCTTGGGATCATCGAGTCCAACCATCTCCCCTACTCTACAAAGTCCTCCCCTACACCATGTCCCTCAGCACTGCATCTAAACGTCCCTTAAACACAGCCAGGGATGGTGACTCCACCCCCTCCCTGGGCAGCCTGTTCCAATGCCCGACCACTCTTTCTGTGAAAAATTCCTTCCTAATGTTCAATCTAAACCTCCCCTGTTGCAGCTTGAAGCCGTTCCCTCTCGTTCTATCACTAATTACCTGTGAGAAGAGACCAGCACCAACCTCTCTACAGTGCCCTTTCAAGTAGTTGTAGAGAGTGATGAGGTCTCCCCTCAGCCTCCTCTTCCTCACACTAAACAGTCCCAGCTCCATCAATCGCTCTTCATAGGATTTATCTTCCAGCCCCCTCACCAGCTTCGTTGCCCTCCTCTGCACTCGCTCCAGCACCTCCATATCTCTCTTGGATGTCCTAAAGTGGTAAAAGGTGCTGACTGGTGCTTTGTATTTCTCAAAGTCACATCTCCTAATGGCACCCTCCCTGTTTTTTTTGTGTTTTTTTCCAGTTGGCTGTCTAACAACGAAGCCACTGCAGGCTTTAGCGACAACATTTTTCTCCGCCTTCAGGAGAAGGTGGAGGGAGGGGAACAGGCCTATTGCTACTGTGCCCTCATGGTCCAAGACGTGTCCCTGCAGAAGCAGCAGGAGTGGGACCCACAGACCCAGCGCCTGACGGGCTTTGTTGACTTGGGAGCAGGCGTCCTTGATGCTGATGAAGCTCCACTGGCCTCAGAAGCGATACTCCTCATGGCGGTTGGCATCTCGAGTCCCTGGACGGCTCCACTCGGCTACTTCCTGGTGAGCAGCACAACTGGCCACTTGCTGGCCCAGCTGCTCCGTCACACCATTCATAAGCTGCACAACATCGGTGTCACGGTGCTGGCCGTGACGTCGGGCACCACCGCTCGCGGTGCTGAGACCGCCAGGGCTCTGGGGATCAGGATAGATCCCCAAAGGATGCAGTGTGCTTTCCAGCATCCCCCTGGCTCCGCTCGCAGCATCGTGTACTTTTTTGACGTTTGCCAGGCCCTCCAGCTGATAAGGAACGCCCTGCAGTGCTTCCAGAAGGTAGAGTGGCTGGGTGACAGCGTGCAGTGGCAGCACGTGGTGGAGCTGGCGGCTCTGAGGGAGCAGAGGGTGTCGGAGCCGCGCGGTCCCGAGTCCGTCCGACGTGGGAGTGAGGAGAGTTACCACCTGAAGGTCAACCTGGCCACCCCGTTGTTCAGTGAGGGTGTTGCTGACGGGCTGGAACACCTCCAGGAGCTGGGCCTGGCCTCCTTCCAGGACTGCAGCGGTACTGCCAAGTTTGTGCGTTTGATGAGCTGCCTCTGCGACGTGTTTCACGGCACAGGTCCCTACAGAAGGGGACTGAAGGGGCCTTTGGTAGCTGGAGATTACACCAAAATTAGCCACCTCTTTGATGAGGCCAAGAGCTGCTTTGTCACCCTGACGGACTCTATGGGGAGACTGGTTATTAAGAGCAAACGCAAACTGGGATTTGTGAGTCTCTTGCTCAACGCCGAAAGCCTCAGGTGGCTTTACACCAACCACGCCTGCCCAGAAGGTGCTCCTTCCCACCACCTCCTGCCCCACGCCCTCAGCCTCGACCCGCTGGAGATGTTCCTCAGGGCCCTCCAACAAGCCTGTGGCAGCAGCAGGAACCCCACCTGCGCTGCCTTCCAGGCTGCCTACCACCAGCTGCTGGCTGGCTGCAGCCTGGCGCCGCGCTCACCCCACGGCTCAGGCACCACCAGCTCCTTGGACCTGTTCCTGTCTCGTAGGAGAGACCTGACCCTCGGCAGCATCCGTGCTCAGTACAACCCAACTCCTGGGAGGACACCATCAATGAAGCCCCTCTGCTGTGCAGGCCTTCTCGTGCAGGACTGGGCGCCGAGCAGCGCGCTGACGGACCTGTCGCTGCGCACGGAGAGCATCACCCGCACCGCGGGCTTCGTGGCCGAGCAGCTGGCCTCCGGGCTGCAGTGTGGGGCCTGTCTGGCCTCTCTCTTTGAGCCAGATGAGAGCAGGCCGAGGGGCGGGTCGCTGCTCTACGTTAAAAAGTTGGGTGGAGTGAGTTTGCCCTCAGCCAGCGTGTGTCACATAACCAACGTTTCAGAACGAGTCCTAAGCCAGCACGGCAAGGTAGGAGATGGTGACAAAACCACCGAGGTATGGCGTTTGTCTCTAGAGCAGAAGGTCTTGCAGGAGCTTCTGGGAGGACGTCCCCTTTTCCCCACCCTCACAAACCATTTATCTGATGGGGAGTTGTGTGTAGACAATCACTACACGGTCCTGGTAAAGCAAATAACACGATGCTACTTAGACATCAGAACAAGCCATGCCAGACACCTGAACCTGAAATGCCACTGTGGAAGGCACAGGTTGAAGAAACTCAAGGGAAACCATTTGTTTCCTTCACCACTGGGTAGCTGTCAGTCAAGCCAAACCCATGCAGGGTCATGAGCACTCACTGCTGTTCCAGGGCTGGTTGTCCCTTACCAAGGCTCAGCGATGGCCAGATCTAGGTGAGGAAGCGATAGGGTGTCTTTCCATGATTCTGCCAGCAAAACTGGTGGTGATGAGCAAACCATCTGATCAGAGTTTGGCTGAGCAAAGCAAGGAAGTTCAGCTGATCCTGTGCTCCATCCAGCAGTCGTGCAGGGCAGCCACGTGTTTCATGAGCTACGTGTGGCAGGTCAGGATGGGCAATGGGTGCTCAAGATGGCTGGGAAAGTGGTAGGGGACACCACAGAGCACCCCCGGGAGGTGCTGGGTGCCTTAGTGCTGCAAGTTCTCTTGCTAGGAGAAAATTGATGCCTCTTCCCTCCGTGTGGTTGCAGGGTGGGGGTCATGCGTGTTGAGAGTTGGAATTCACCAAAGCAGGTCTTTAAAAAAAGCTGGAGGCAACAAAGCTTGCAGAGCTTTTACTGGAAAATAAAGACATGAAAGAAAACAGCACTCAAGTTGTACACAAGCTCCAATCTCTGCTGCAACACGTCTCAAACAGCTAAACGAGCTGTTTCACAGAATCAGGGAATTGTTGGAGTTGGAAGGGACCTTCTAGAGACCATCCAGTCCCACTCCCCTGCCAAAGCAGGGCTGCCCAGAGCACATCACTCAGGAGCATCCAGGTGGGGCTTGAAGATCTCCAGAGAAGGGGACTCCACACCCTCCCTGGGCAGCCTCTGCCAGGGCTCTGCCACCCTCACCCCAAAGAAGTTCTTCCTCACATTGGAGTGGAACTTCCCATGGTCCAGCTTGTGCCCGTTGCCCCTCGTCCTGTCACTGGGAACCACTGAAAAGAGTCTGGCTCCATCCTCCCTCAATCCCTCTATGTCATTGATGAAGATACTAAACAGTGCCCCAATACAGACCCCCGAGGGACACCACTTGTCCCTGGTCTTCATCTGGCCATTGAGCCATTGACTGCTACCCCCTGGATGTGACCGTCCAACCAGTTCCTCATCCACCAAACAATCTGTCCATCAAATCCATTTCTCTTTGGGGCACCGTGTCAAAGGCCTTAGAGAAGTCCAGAAAGTTGGCATCTGTAGCTCCTCCCTTGTCCACTGATACATTCACTCCATCATAGAAGGTCACTAGGTTGGTCAGGCAAGACTTGTCCTTGGTGAAGCCCTGTCTGGAATCACCTCCCTGCCCTCCCGTGCCTTACCATAGCTTCTAGGAGGATCTGCCCATGCTCTTCCCAGGCAGAGAGGTGAGGCTGACGGGTCAGTCGTTGCCAGGCTCCTCCTTTCTACCCTTTCTGAGAATGGGTGCGACGTTTCCCTTTTTCCAGCCACTGGGGACTTCACCTGACTTTTCAGATCTCATGGGGAGTGGGTTGGCAACGACATCAGCCAATTCCCTCAGGACTCTGGGATGCAGCTCATCAGATCCCATAGACATATGTCCAGGTTCCTCAGGTGGTCACAAACCTGATCTTCTCTTACAGTGGCAGGGACTTTTCTCCCCCAGTCCCCTGCTCGAGAGCTGTGGGGACAGAGGTTGCCAGTGAAGACTGAGCTAGAAAAGCTGTTGAGTCCCTCAGCTTTATCCTCACCCGTTGTTACCTGTCTTGCTCATCAGGGTTCTGTGACCTTCCTTCTCTGGCTCCATACCTGTAGAAGCCCCTCTCGTTATTCTTTGTGTCCCTTGCCAAGCTCAGCCCCAGATGAGCCTTGGCCTTCCTGACCCCATCCCTACACAATGGGGCAGTGTCCCTATACTTCTCCCAGGATCTGCTGCCTGTGTGTTGCCTTCTCTGTGCGAGTGTGAGTCCGAGTGTGCCCAGCAGCACCCAGGGGCACTGACACCCTCCCCTCGAGCCCCAGACCCCAGCGTGCGGGGCTGCTGCAGCAGGGAGAGGGTTTCGGGTCCCGTCACGTGGCCCCATCAGGGCACCCACTGAACATGGCCCCGTTCTCCCAGAGCTGGGCAGTGTCCCCCAGCCCAGGGCACCAGTCCCCTTTTTGGGTGGTGGTTCCACTGATTACTTGAATTGTAAATTTGATGCTACCAAGTAGGATAGTCTTCTTCAGTCAGTTCATTCCTGTGGCAAGGAATTATAGAATGGTTTGGGTTGGAAGGGAAGTTAAAGATCATCAAGTTCCAACCCCCCTGCCCTGGGCAGGGACACCTCCCACCAGACCAGGTTGCTCCAAGCCCCATCCAGCCTGGCCTTGAACCCCTCCAGGGATGGGGCAGCCACAGCTTCTCTGGGCAACCTGGGCCAGTGTCTCACCACCCTCACAGCAAAGATTTTCTTTCTGGTATCTCATCTAAATCTCCCCTCTTCCAATTTAAAATCTTTCCCCCTTGTCCTGTCACTGCACTTCCTGACAGAGTCCCTCCCCATCTCTCCTGTAGCCCCTTCAGATATTGGAAGGGGCTCTAAGGTCTCCCCGGAGCCTTCTCTTCTCCAGGCTGAACAACCCCAGCTCTCTCAGCCTGTCTTCACAGCAGAGGTGCTCCAGCCCCCTGATCATCTTCGTGGCCCTCCCGTTCCAACAGGTCCATGTCCTTCCTGTGCTGAGGACTCCAGAGCTGGACACAGAGCTCCAGGTGGGGTCTCAGGAGCACTGCCTTGGTGTGCAGCACTTTACCTGGGATGAGGAACTCTGGCATAACTGCTGCTAAATGGTTCTCCCCCGCCACACACAGCAGCAGTTGCACCTCCAGAGATGGGTGACTTTCCCCCAGGACTCTGCCCGTTCAGTTACTCTGGGGCAGCACGTTGGAGGTGGGATGAAAAACGGTGTGACCCGCCGTGTCCCAGAGCAGGAGTAATGCTGCAGGTGCTGCTCTGGGTACCAGTGATGGGACACAACTCTCCCTGCTCCGTTTGGGTTCTTCCTCCTCACCCCTGGTGGGAGAAGAGCTGCTGCCCTCAGTTCCTCAAAGCTCTGCTTCGAAAGCAGCAGCACCACAGAACTTGAGAAAACCTCTATAGGCTTTTTTTTTTGTTTTCCAATGACCTGTGCAAAAATCCACCCCGAAGCCATCAGTGCCACGGAGCCCCTCCAGCTCCTAGAGACTCTGCAGAAACCTATTTCCTTCCCATATAGAGGCAATTTTTAGGACAATTGTGAAAATGCTGCTGCTATTCCAGCAGTATGTGGATTGCGCTCCCGGAGCGAGCTTGCCTCGCTGGATTCACACCGAGCCTCCTCCCAGCTCTTGCACAAACACACACACACACACACACACACCCTCCTGGTGTGGGGGTGTGCACGTGGCAGGCGTGCTGCTCACAGGGATGTCCCCACCTCTGTGTTTCGGAGGGGTTTTGTGTGATTGTGAGCTGAGCTGGTGACTGCTGACGCCGGGCTCTGCCCCACCACCACCAGAGCTGGCACATCCTTTTGTGAGTCACTATATATATATATATATTTATATATATATATTGATGAGGGAGGTTTTTTCAAGAGAGACCGAGGAGGTTTTACAGGGCACGGCAGGATGAGGCTGGAGTGAAAGCACATCATTAGAAAAAGTAGGGCAGTTTTCTAATTAACAAGACTATTCAATATTAAAAGAAAACTTGAACCCTGTACCAATTGCCACTCTTTTCCAAAAATACAGACCTCCCTGTTTCCCACCACAGATAACTTCTGGCTGCACTCACACTGGAAAAACTGGAATTTTTCAGCACTCCTAACTCCACAATTGCAACCAAGTGATTTTCTGCACCGCTCCTTTTCCTACAGCACCTTTTGCTACTTTCTCCTCCCGGCACCTACTTGCTCAGATGTTCACCATCTTTCTTTGAAACACCCCCTGCCCCTCCACGAGGTGCAAACCCGCTGCTAAGTCACTTTGAGCACCTCATTCCTTCCCCAAGCCCTTTCCTACAGCCCAAGGGGATGGACAGCCTTCTCTGGCCCATGTCCTGGGGGGGAAAAGCTCACTCCAGTAACATCTTTCATCCACTCAACATCCCAACGAGGCTCCTGAGCCTCCCCGAGCCTGGAGGGGATACACAACCTTTACCGAGCTGCTAGAAAAAGCTGAACCTAGAAATGGAGCCTGCCAGCCAGGACATGCGAAAAAAAAAATTAAAAAATAATAAAAAAAAAAATAAATCCTTTCTCAGAGTTGAGAAGAAATTCCCAGGTGGGCTGAAGTACCTGGTAGTGGCTCGGCTGAGGCGTTTGGTCCCTGGGTCACACATGGCTCTGCACAGCGCAACGCCGGCTCCTGGGGTTTATCCCTGGAGGATTCCAGCTCATACTTGAAAATCCAAGGTAGTGCTTGCATCAGGAGTGGGGGTGGCCTTAACAGATTTATTTTACTATTTCAGAGAAAATCTTCCGTGTGTATTTGTCAGTGCTGAAGGAGTACAAAAAAAATAAATAAATTGTATTTACGGAATAGTATAAATGTTTATTTTTCTTTGTGATTTATCTGACTGTTTTATTTGTACAATATAGAAAAGTGTATTCTTTGAATAGGTCTAGTAAATATAAATTTATTTTTTTTTCTACTTTTAGATGTAAACAGAACTAGAAAATGAACCCTTGCCCCATTCCCAATTATTTTCATGTAACTGGATGAACTTTTGACTGTAAATCTTGTCCAGCAGTTTGATGCAAATGGCTGAGGAAGTACAAAACCCAACCCACACGTCGTACAGCGGGGAGAGGGGGGAGAGGGGTCCGAGCTGAACCTTTGAGAGAGCTTGTTCCAAACAAAATAGAAGAACTAAGAGCGTTTGATTGCACCTTCATCAAAGTCTTTACAAGCAAAATATTCTCAAGCAATGCCATCATACATAATTACAACTGTCATCTAAATTTCACAAGTGTTTTTGCACACTGTATATAAATACACATCACAAAAAGGTGCAATTTTAGAGTAAGACACGGAATATATACAAAATTAACATGGATTGAAGTCTAAACAAAAGAAGGCATATTGCAATCTGTTTGAAAAATAACGTAAGTAGGTATTAACTTTATTCACTTACACTAATTTACATTTATACAAATCTTACTGGACATACTAGATTAGGTCACTAGAAGTAAACTGAATATCCGCGCTATCTACATGTAAAGTTACTGCACTGATTTTTTTAGTAAATCCAAGTCCTAATTATGGGAAAAAAAATAATAAATGGCTTTTACTTACACAAGAGGTGGATTCCCTTTTCAGAGCTTTGCACAAATAGAATTGCTCTTTGTGCTTGGGGGGGAGGTGTTAACAGCAGCCAGGGCCCTTCAGATGCTCCCTGGCGGGTCAGACCTTGTCTGCTGCCCGCCCCCCAGGGCCTTCCTGCCCCCCAGGGCCTTCCTGCCCCCCAGGGCCCTCCTGCCCCCCAGGGCCCTCCTGCCCCCCAGGCATTTCAAGGGGACACCAGAGAAGGGTGAAGGAGAAAGGACTGGGGGGTGAAGACAAGAGGGAAGCATCCTCCCACCCTGTCGCCACGGCATTCCCTAGCCTGGCCCTCCTAGAAAACCTAGAGAAAGAGCTCTGCTGCATTTCTCTGTATTTACAGTTTTACACAAGGAATACAAAATCGTGTTTGGAAAAACCCAGCTAGTTCAGGCTTCCATGAGAGAAGTAATAAAAATGCCTGTGATTAAACACAGCTATCGACGCTGGCGGTAAGTGTCCTACCGGCTTCATTTTGTACATGTGTTCCACTATCAAAACTGTGATCTGAGATTGCCTGCAACAAATACTGAAAAAATATCCCCTCTCCCAGTCTATACACACATTTCCCCTGCCTCATGGCTGGGTGTAAAAGGATCTGTGTGTCTGTTTTGGCAGCAATCCTGATTCTGCACTAGCATCCTCTCTGACGGTCTCACAGCCATTCTGAACAACACTAAAAAAAACTCCTTACACAAAGAAAATGACCAAGATACGGGGAAACAACCTCCTGAAAACCCACCACCAGGCTGAACATGATCTCCACCTGCCTTTGCGAGTCGATTGGGATGCAGATTGTCTCAAGTCCTCATTAAGACCACTGTGGTTCCTCCATCTCACGTGACCTCAGCTCCTCAGCCTTAAACACTTCTCCAGGGTTATCACTGGATCTTAGAACAGACACCAGACTGAGAGGGATCATGCTCTGAACAACCAAGCTTCATCCAAGCCACAGCATCCACCTGCTGCACGCTTTGGTGACAGGTGACACCAGGCAGACAATCGGCCGTCGTGGTGTGGCTGCTCCTCACCTCTGAGGACAGCCCACCGCTGTCTCAGCCTTCAAGCTCCAGCTCAAGAACCACCTGAGCTCTCAGCCTACCTCAGTTCCTATCAAAAAATCCCCCATCAATTCCATCTGCCTCCAAACTCCTTGAGCCCTGCTCCACCGAGATCCTCCACCACTTGTCCCATGCTACATCTGTAAGAAACCTTCTCTGTGTCACTGTCTGTGTCGCAGCGCGCCGTGCACCAAGGGAACGTGCCCTGTCAGGTCCTAAACAAAAATACTACCTTCCACTTAGATGCTAATTTTTTTACACAATTTTCTTCAGAACTCTCTCGCATCACTGATACCTGGGCCTGTCGTGGAAAGTGTCACCCGGCTGTTGACATCACCTGTATGCACAGAGTGATGCAACTCCATACACTGTAAATATTATATATCATAATAATTTATATACGCCCTTCAGGCAATTATTCTGGGGGAAAGGGGAGAGCACACCTAATTTTTAAGAAACCTAAGGTAAAAGCTGTACATGGGGGAAGAAGAATTGACCTTTAGGCATTGTCTTAAGTATAAGAGGATTTAGCTAAGTTTTAAAAGGCTCTACGTCTCGTTATAAAAGATTCTCTCGTTTCAATCTTACACAGGTCAATTTACAACAAGCACCAAATTAACAAATATTATTAAATCCTCCCGTGCCAAACCAAAGTGTCCCTGTGCCTTAAGTGTTCTGTCCAGTCCGCTTCGTTAGGGCTCCCGTGCGCGAGTCAGCAGTTCATGGCACAAGGGTCACTTTTGGACTTCCCTGCAGAGCTGATGACTCTCATCAGACACCGCCCAAACTCCTCCAGGATGACGCGCTCCGCCGCCGCTTTGGACTTGCCCATCTTCTCTGCCTGCTCAGCCTGGGCCAGGAGGCATTCGCAGGTGGCGTCGGCCACCTCCTTCGTGACAAACGTGAAGGGCAGCCTGAAACACAGACACATCCACTCACCCTCAGCAAAAACACACCAGCTCCAGGGCAGGGCAACTTTTTAGTCCGAGGAGCGATGAGATTTCATGGGTCCCACCGCCTCCAAGAGCCTTTAGACAACCAGGAGGGAGGGAGGGAGGAAGCCACGGTGACAGTCCAACGAACCCGCCGTTGTGTTTCGGTGCCTGCCTTCACTGACTGACATTTTGAAACAGATTTTAAAATGCCCAGGGTACGTAGAACAATTCTCCAGCTTCTACTCTAAGGGCATCCTCTCAGTGAATCACAGAATCTTCTAGGTTGAAAGGGACCTTAAAGATCATCTTGTCCAACCATCAACCTAACTGACAAAAATAGACACCCACACAACAAACAAGGAGCATCATCACTAAACCAGACCTCCCAGCACTACATCAACCCGGCTTTTGAACACCTCCAGGGATGGGGCCTCAACCACCTCCCTGGGCAGCCCATTCCAATGCCTGAGAACCCTTTCAGTGAAAAAATGTTTCCTAATATCCAGCCTGAACCTCCCCTGGCGCAACTTGAGGCCATTTCCTCTTGTCCTGTCGCCTGTGACTTGAGAGAAGAGCCCGACCCCCACCTCTCTACACCCTCCTTTCAGGGAGCTGTAGAGACACACCGCGAGCGAGGGGGACGGGGCGCTGTGTTAACTTACTTCCCCCCGCCGCTGCTGAGTGCCGGCGCGGGCCTGGTCAGCAGATCTGAGATCTGGGAAGATAACTTGGTCTTTGCAGCCGTCTGCTGCTGCACCCTCACTTCTGCAGCGTCTGCTAAATGCATCAGCGTCTTCCGCTCGGGGCTTTCTTCAAAATTCTTGCAGCCGATGCATTTGCATATGGAAGAACACATGATTTTTGCCTGAAAGAGACAAACGAAACATGAGGAACCTGCTGCAACCTTGACCGTCGAGCCACAACAAGAGGGAGATGATTTGTTTTAATCTCTTATCAATGAGGCATTGACGAAACCCCCCCAAGTGGTAGTTTTCTCCCTAAATCCTCCCCTCAAACTGAGATACTTAAATGACATGCAAATGGATGGTTTCCCACTCATCCCCTTCTACACCAACCGACTGCTTCCAGCAGAACTCAGGTGGTTGAGCTACCAGAGGTCAGTCTGGCCCTGTCTCTGCACCCACCGATTGACCACTCATTGACAGAACAGCTTCTGCCCCCCCAGACGTGTGGAACATCCCAGAGCACAGGGGGGATGCTGCTCCACCTCCTCCCAGGGACTCGGGGCAGTACATTTCTTTAGGAAACAACTGCTCTTCAGTAAAAGACAAATCCAAGCCCAAGTTCAAAGTTGCTGCACGGTTTAAAATTAAACTTATACAACAGAAGGGATGGATTTTGCTGTGTACGTGGCTTTCTACGTGCAAACTGCTGGAAGAACAGATAACATTATACCCATCGAAAGGAAGAGAAAATGTCAGCGATCCAAAGAAGAGACAAAGCAAATCAAAGAAGTTGCAGCACTAAAGGGAAAAAGCCAGTGTCTTTAAGATGAGATAGGACTCCATACCTCGTAACATTCGCAGTAGTTTTTGAGACATCCCGAGCGTTTACAGTTACACCCTTTGCTGTGTCTCCGATCCGACTCTCCTTCCTTCCCTTTCCCTATTTTGGGCTTGAAGGCTTCAGGGTTTCTGTCAAGGCAGGCCTGTCAAGGCAGACCCAAAGGGTCAGTCACTACGTGCAGGGAGCAGGGTTTAGAGGTGCAATAATGATGAGGGGATCAAGTGCACCCACAGTGAGTTCACAGGTGACACCAAACTAGGTGGGAGTGTTGATCTGCTGGAGGGTCGGAAGGCTCTACAGAGGGACCTGGACAGGTTGGATCAATGGGCCAAGGTCAAAGGGATGAGGTTCAGCAAGGCCAAGTGCCAGGTCCTGCCCTTGGGTCCCACCAACCCCCTGCAGCGCTCCAGGCTGGGGGCAGAGTGGCTGGAGCTGCCTGGCAGAAAAGGACCTGGGGGTGTTGGTGGCCTGTGGGCTGAACAGGAGCCAGCAGTGTGCCCAGGTGGCCAAGAAGGCCAACAGCATCCTGGCCTGTGTCAGGAGCAGCGTGGGGAGTAGGACTCAGGAGGTGATGGTCCCCCTGTGCTGGGCACTGGTGAGGGCTCACCTCAAGGGCTGGGTTCAGTTCTGGGCCCCTCACCACAAGAAGGACATTGAGGGGCTGGAGTGTGTCCAGAGGAGAGCCACGAAGCTGGGGAGGGGTCTGGAGAACAAGTCCTACGAGGAGAGGCTGAGGGAAGTGGGCATGTTGAGTTTGGAGAAGAGGAGGCTGAGGGGAGACCTCCTTGCCCTCTCCTGCTCCCTGAAAGGAGGGTGGAGAGAGGTGGGGGTTGGCCTCTTCTCCCAAGGGAATCATGAGAGGAGCAGAGGAAATGGTCTGAAGTTGGGGCAGGGGAGGTTTAGATGAGATCTTGGGAAGAATGACTTTGCTGAGAGGGTGGTCAGGCTCTGGAAGGGCCTGCCCAGGGAGGTGGTGGAGTCACCATCCCTGGAGGGATTTCAGAAAGGTGTAGATAGGGCATTTGAGGGCATGCTCTAGTGCCCGAGATTGTGGGGGTCTTTGTGTGTGTGTGTGGTTGGACTCGGTGATCTCAGAGGTCCTTTCCAACCATGAAGATTCTGTAATAAAAGAACTTAAGCCTTGGCACGGGTGGGAGGAGATCAGGTCATTACGCTCTGCCCTGCACCATAGTTTCAGAAGACACAAACTTTCACGGCTTTCATCCGGGGAGCAGGGGAAGAGGCCCCTCACCTTTATTGCTTTTTGCCTATCGTTCTCATGGTCCAGGTTGTTATAACAATTTGTACAGTTGCAGTTATTGCAGAATTCACCGTTTGCAAAACAGTCACAATACCTGAAAGAAAAGAAGCAGAAGGCATTTGTGAACAGGACCATTGCGTGGGCGTTAGTACTAAGGGCTGCAGCAGACGTTCTTAGTCTGGTGAGATGCACGTGCACCACGACTGGGAAGGGTCACCCTGTGCTCAGCTCCACCTGTACAAGTGGTATCAGCCCCGTTGCAGGGTCTAAATCCTCTAGCACGGGTCTAAAGACACAGGTCCAGCTCCAGGGTGTCTGTCTGAGGTGGTGCTCACATAGCACCGGTCCCCATCGCAGCAAGAGAAGCTAACGAGACTTTTTTTTTGGGTAGGGTGACTCCTGGGTGGCTGAGCCACATGTTGAGGGCCATCCTGCTGGAGCCACCTCCTACCCAGTTCCTGACCCAGCCAGTTCCAGTCAGCCTTCAGGAGCTCTCATACAGCTGAAACATCGACCATCAGGCAAACTGACTAATCCAGCAACAAGCCCTTATTTTTGTTACTTTTACCCATAAGCTGTTCGCAGCCGTGAACTGAGGCAGAGTTTGCCCAAGCAGGGAGAGAGCAGAAAAGGAGTAACGAGTGGTAGGCCTCAAAGGCTTTGAAACACAGGTAACCAGGGAAAGGATATGAATGAGGGTAAAGCTGTAGTTATCAGAGACTTTTTTTTTAAAGGAACTAAGTATGTGTATAAAAAGCAGTAAAACATCGAGAGGAAAAGCCAATCACATTGCCATGCTCTGATGGATCTCTGCTACCTCCCACCTAAAACAAAACCTCACCATCCCACAGATCTGGAAGCACCACACTCATCCCCAACTCAAACATAGCTTTGGGACACGACAAACTCTGACATGTTTCAATGGTCCAGTACCACCTCCAGCTATAGCTGATGGAAACTGCTGATCCTCTTCAGTTACTTTTCAAATCCTGCTAGGAGTGTATATTCATTTTAGGAGCCTAAACACCTTGCAAACACCTTGCAAAACAGGCTTCCACAAGAGCTAGATTATGGTTGCCCCAGAGTCCACTACAACCATTTACCTGGTTGAACTGCATTTTGGTGTTTTGTAGCACCCTGAATGGTTCCAGGGACAAACTCCTTCAAAACCTGCAATAGCTTCCATAGAATCACAGAATGCTATGGGGTTGGAAGGGACCTCTGGAGATCATCGAGTCCACCCCCCTGCCAAAGCAGGGCCACCCAGAGCAGGTCCCACAGGAACGTGTCCAGGTGGGTTTGAATGTCTCCAGGGAAGGAGACTCCACCTCCTCCCTGGGCAGCCTCTGCCAGGGCTCTGCCACCCTCACAGCAAAGAAGTTCCTCCTCATCTTTAGGTGGAACTTCTTATGTTCAAGTTTGTGCCCATTTCCTCTTGTCCTGTCCCTGGGCACCACTGACAAAAGACCAGCCCCATCCTCCTGACACCCTCCCTTGAAGTTTTATAAGCCCTGATCAGATCCCCCCTCAGCCTTCTCTTCTCCAGACTCAGCCTCTCCTCACAGGGAGATGCTCCAGGCCCCTCATCACCTTTGTAGCCCTCTGCTGTCCCCTCTCCAGCAGTTCCCTGTCCTTCTGGAACTGGGGAGCCCAGAACTGGTCCCAGTGCTCCAGATGGGGCCTCCCCAGGGCAGAGCAGAGGGGCAGGATGACCTCCCTCCACCTGCTGGTCACACTCTTCCTGATGCCCATCAGGATGCCACTGGCCTTCTTGGCCACCAGGGCCCATTGCTGGCTCATGGCCATCCTGTTGTCCACCAGGACTCCCAGGTCTTTCTCCTCAGAGCTGCTCTCCAGCAGGTCACCCCCAACCTGTCCTGGTGCAGGGGTTATTCCTCCCCAGGTGCAGCACACTATCTTTTCTGTCCTGTTTAGAATTCAGCAGTGGAATAGTTCTGGTCTCCAAGACAAACAGTGCCAGTATCAACCCAGAGCACCAGCGAGCAAATGACTTCTCCAAGCTCTTTCTCTGTAGAACAGGCTACGTGCCTACCTTCTACATTCTTTTTGGGAAAAAGCAACTCCCGTTCCAGATGGGAAAAATTTTTACTATTGAGAAAGCACCTTGGCCAGAGTGAATTAGCCATTTGCTCTTCACCAATGCCTAAGCACTCAAAGATATAATGACACCAATTTACAAGAAAAATTTGTTTCCAAACAGCATTTTGAGGTTGCAAAGCATTGTAAGTGATGCCGTCATTCTCCCAGGATTTCTAGAGCTTTCAGGAACTGAAGACTGAAATAAGTGGAATCCCATAGCACCTAACATCCATTTGGCACTATGAAGTCAGCCACGTTTGTTGTAAAACACCTGAAAACACAGCTACACTTCTTCCCATGTGCCATGTCTTCTGCACAACAGACAGTTTTAAGGCAGGCAGCCCAGGGCACACCTCCCACTTAGAGGCAGGCTGCATTACCCAAAAAGAAACCCAAGCTGAAAAGGTTAAACACACTTCTTCATTTGGGTTCAGAAACTGTTGCATCACTTTCTCTTGGAGTAGCTCACCAACAATTTCCTCTTAATCATCTAGGGTTAAGGAATCGCAGATTAATTTCAGTATCTCCTCCTGTTACTGCCCCCTCCTTGCTACCTCCACCCCTTCCCAGAAATGCTCTCATGTCAAATTTTTACAAATACACTGAATGGAATAGCAAGGTATCTCATGATATCTCTTCACACCTATCAGTGAAGAATCCCTTGTCTATTCAGTCACTGAACCTCACGTTAGCATCCAGACATGACATTTCTGACATACTTAAAAAACGTTACATTCTGATAGTTGGCATAAATTTGTGATGTCAAAAAATAAGACAAAAGAAAAAATCCAAAACAAACAAAAAATGCAAAGCAAGCTGTACTTACAATTTCAAACACAGAGATTTAGTACAATTGCAAGGCTTCCTGGGGCGGTTTGCAGATTCAGAAGGAATTATTCTGTGGGGGAGGGGAAAAAGTGCATTTATACACATACACGCCATTTTAAATTCAAGTAAATAGCTCATAATAAAAACTTTGAAAAAAATCTTTATATTCCCCTTGCATTAGGTTTTTGGCTGACTGCATTTAACCAACTATTATATATAGTGCCTTTCCAACCCAGAAAGAGCTGGGTTATTTTCTGCAAATCTGACTGCAGGCCTGAAGCAGAAATGAGGCATAAAGCTAGAGGAGGCATCTTCACTGAAAACTGGAATCAGGGAGTTCTTCCCCAGAACCCCTCTCCATGTAGGGGGACTGGATCCAACCAAGGTTCACACAACGTGATTGGGCCTTTCCTTTTGTCTACTTGGAATTAAAAAAAACAACCACAAAAACCAAAAACCAAACCAAAGAGCTCTGGAATAAAGGAAAAGCAAGCCAAAATACCATGGTATTCAGTTTATAGATAAATTTTATAATCAGACAGAGTCTCTGAATGCTCTTAAAACTCGGATTTTGTGTCACTAATCGCTTTTAGTGAGATTCGTTCCATCCCCATCCAGCAATTTCTGCACGTAATACCAGGGAGATTAAATCAAATCCATTTGTTTGAATAGCTGCATCTGGATTTGGGATTAGTTTGTATCAGTTGAGGTTGCAGCAACAAAAAGCACCTTGGCATTTACAAAACACAAAAGAACTGTGCAGAACAGCTAAGCCTGCTGGACCGGCAAAGGGAAAAATAATACATTAGCTGTTATTTTCAGCCTTGAAGGAAAAATACAAGACTAAAAAAACCAAAACACCAAAGCCTCCTATCAGGATCCATTTTGGGCTTTAGTTCCGTTTTGCTGTTTGGCATTGAGCTCTTGTATCTTCCAGCACCTCTTTCCAGCAAAAACCAAGCCTTCCCTTAAACCAAACCCCAACACCTCAGCTCCCCCATCCAGCAGCCTCCACTGCAGGGGTTTTGTTTGTTGTTTTTGTGAGTGTTTCCCCCCCCCAAAACACTCACCCATTGAATGGTAGCCGTGCTTGGGACTGGATACTGGATGTCCCTGTAAAGCCAGTGTTGCTTGCTATAGATACATAGGATGACTGTTGTAGCTAACAAAACAAAAAGGTTAGCGTGTAACGTGAAAGCAATTAAAAGTATACACAAGAGTATGTGTAGCTAGTCTTTTAATTAACTTTTCGGATATTGTTATAAAAATAATCTGCTCATAAGCACAGCTTTAGACATTTGTAGAACTTGGACAGGCTGCAACCTCCTGCCTCCATACTTTGTCTAGAAACATCATTTTAGATGATATTTTTTTTGTCTATTACAGTGTCTACAGCCATACACATAACACAGAAACGTTCAGACCACAAACAGTTCCAGCTCCTAAAGTCATGCTCATTTCCTCCTCCTTTTCCTAAGCAACCCAGCCCCTATTGAGCAGGATCACTTCCAGCACAAATTGCTTTAGTAGCTTCTTTAATATACAAGCCTCTTATTAAAGAATTAAATAAAAGCAAGTAAAACGATCTACATACATGGACCCACAGCTTGTTTTTTACATTAAAAAAAAAACAAAACCTCATAAGAACCTGCCAAACAACACTGTTTTGGGCTACCTTTTTTTTTCTATTACCTCCACACAGCCATTTTCTCCGGCTGGGACAGGTTCTGAAGACAGACCAGCACTAAAGAAGATATGGACCTACTGGGGCCAGGCCAGAGGGTAGAGATTGTGTCTGGAACAAAACCTCCGAGGAGAGGTCCAACAAATGGTATTATTTAATTTAGGGTAAGATTTGTGGAGGTGGACTAGAAGGTCACAGTAAAGAGGCTTCAGAGTCAAACTGCAGCTGTGACAGATCCCAGTAATGGTCCCAGTAATGTTATAAGCTGACAGAGCCCTTGTTCATACAGACTGGATCAGCCTTCAGCAGAACGTTTCATTTATTCTCCTTTTCATTCTGATTCAGGCTGATTACTCACTTCCTTACTGGCCATGAAGGTCACAGGCACCTGGACAACCAGGTGGTGGTGACCACCCTGTCACAGAACAAAGGAAGCGCAACGGCACGCAGAGCGCTGTCTATAAAACCAAGCAGTTACAAGTCTGAAGTGAGGGATTTGGACCAGAACTGCTGCTGGACAGTCAGACCTGTGACACCCTGGTAGCCGAGGAACACCTCCACTGATACCTGCTTTCTCTGAGGATTGAGTGGCTTGTGTTCATTTTTAGGATTTTCCAGTCTAGATTATGATTGTGATATTGATAAAGCAAACCACGATCTGCAGATGGTCTAGGTGATTAGAAATTGTAAGTTAAGTTGTATTATAAATTCTGTATTACATTACTAAGAAAATTTTACTAAGCTGATTCTGCTTATAGAAATCCTGTGCTATTCTGATTATAAATTCTATGGTATGCTAATAAAATCATGTTAAGAAAATAAAGCTTTAATTATAATTACGATTTAGTGCCGTCATCACTCTGTCAAGGTTCCCTAAAAGAAACTGTCTGACCCCTTAATGTGAGGTGACAGCTGGGGAGCAAGAACCTTTAAGGAGGAGGCAGCATGTTCCACAAAAGCACTATTTCTTTATTTAGCTCTGGATTAACACCATACCTGTGTGACATATTGAGCTGGAAGGACTGCATAGCCGACGTTTCCTGTGCCAGGTGCTGGTGCCAGCACAGTGCCCGGGGGGAGGTTGGTGAGGTTGGGCTGTATCTGTGGCAGTGGAGTGGCTGGCATAATAAGTCTTTGTTGGGGCTGACTAGTAGTAACTATCTGGGAAGTTGGGTTGATGGGTTTGGGCACTACCTGGAGAGAAAAGAGGTCTTTATGAAATCATTTTGTTTTGGTGATTCAAAATGTCATTAAAGTGTTAAAACAGGACTTTTTTTTTTTTTTTTTTTCCCCTCCATCTAGCCAAAGTCAGTCAGGAATATGTCTTTTACACTTATCTCACCTGTTTCACAGTCTGTGCTGGCACTATGGGAACAGACATCCGCACGGGCGTTGCGTTTACCACCACCGGCTTTGCTAGTATCAAGAAACAGCAGCACATTAACACACATTATTCACTCAAAGTCCACAGTTCAGTCCTCCAAACCTTCACATGCACATAACACAAAGGTACTTAAGAGTGTAACTACGTGCTGAGATTGACCAAACTCATGGCACGTAACATTTATGTTTAAAGAATACCTTTGTAAACAGGCATTTGGCACAAGAGTGTGCACGCATGTTTCACAGCAATGGCTTAAAACTTAAAAACCAGCTTGGGAACAGAGCTCCTCTGGACACTAGATTTCCCTTGGCAAGAGGAGAATACAAAAACAATAGCTTGGTTTGAAATCTTTTATTCCACTGCAGCTTCAGAAAGCAGCAGACACATCTGGTGTCTCTAAGGTGTTTGACATGAAAGGATCTTCATCTCCCAGGAGTTCTGACAGTCTGTTTGTGGGCTGTCCTGGCTTCACACAGAGGAACTTGCACTTGCCACGAGTCGCCCACAAAGCTGGTAAACTAGGGCGAAGCAACCTAAAATGCTCCAAGGATTGAGGCTCAACTGCAGAGCAATTGGACACAGCAGAGCATTTCCACGCGCAAACCAGAGGTAACAACAGAATATGAAATTGATAGGAGTCTACCACAAAACTAAGTATATCTGGCATCTCTATTACGTACTCATTTTAATCCTTACAAAACAAACAAGGGAAAACTGAATCCAGACAATACATTAGTTAGGAGCACTTACCCTGCTGAAGAGGCTGTGTATTCGTAGTGGGATTCTGACTGGCCGATTGGGTTGAACTATTGGCTGTTGTGGCAGTAACGAGTCTGACATAATGGAATTTGCTTCCAGGTACCTGAATCTGCTGAACATTGGGCGCAGTAGCCAAGGGAATAATTGTCTTGAACTGAGACGTACCCACTCCCCCTACAGTAATGGTCTGCACCGCCGATTTCACAGCCTGTTGAGCCAACACAGACAGCACAAAGTTACTTTTACAAAGGCAGAAAGAACATCGGTATGTTTATCCCTTAATTTGTTAGTGAGCAACTCCGTTCATATCCTTGAGAAGCAAGTCAGCTAGTTATCCCCATTTTTTCTTTCAAAAGTAAAACAGATGTTATAAAACAGTATAACAATTTTGCAACTTATAAGAATCAAGTGCAAAACAGAATCACAGAATCTTCTAGGTTGGAAGGGACCTTAAAGATCATCTTGTCCAACCGTCAACCCAACTGACAAAAATAGACACCCACACAACAAACAAGGAGCATCATCACTAAACCAGACCTCCCAGCACTACATCAACCCGGCTTTTGAACACCTCCAGGGATGGGGCCTCAACCCCCTCCCTGGGCAGCCCATTCCAATGCCTGAGAACCCTTTCCGTGAAAAAATTTTTCCTAATATCCAGCCTGAACCTCCCCTGGGTCAACTTGAGGCCATTTCCTCTTGTCCTGTCGCCTGTGACTTGAGAGAAGAGACCGACCCCCACCTCTCTACACCCTCCTTTCAGGGAGTTGGAGAGAGCAAGAAGGTCTCCCCTCAGCCTCCTCTTCTCCAGGCTGAACACCCCCAGCTCCCTCAGCCTCTCCTCATAAGACTTATTCTCCAGACCCTTCACCAGCTTTGTCGCCCTTCTCTGAACCCGCTCCAGCACCTCGATGTCTTTTTTATGGTAGGGGGCCCAAAACTGGACACAGTACTCAAGGTGAGGCCTCACCAGTGCCCAGTACAGGGGGACCATCACCTCTCGGGCCCTACTCCCCACGCTGCTCCTGACACAGGCCATGTGAAGAGGTTAAACGCCTCTCAGCAGCTCAGAGCAAACTCAGTTCCATTTTCAAGGCTCTACACCAAACACCAGAGAAAAAAACAGTATTTCCCTGAGCAGAGTGGCTCAGTCTGCTTCCCCAGACACCACGTTTGCCAAAACCACTTCAGGTGGCTGCAGAGAACATCGCTCAGTTCATATTCACAATCATGCAATGAACAACCTAGAAATATTCCTAATAAAAACACAGGGTAAGGACTTGCAGAACTTGGTGCTGGAGTGCAGCATGACTTCTCTCTGTGGGTACAGACACGTCCCACTAAGAGAGTTTGTGATTCATGCACAGAAATCACTGTGCAGACCTTGAGAAGGAAATGGAACAGAGTCCACAAGCTGAGAGCTGAAGGCATGAGAAATGAAAGAAGGAAGAACAATGAAGAGTAGCAAACCAAAGGTATTAAGAATAAAAGCAAAAGGGGGAAAGAGAGGGGGGTTTGGCAGAACCCACAGGTGGAATAACAGTACATCTGGAATTCAAAAGACTTCATCTTTCCAATTTCTTTCAAATTACAAACAGCTAACAAGCAAGTGTTTATTTTATTGATACACATTCATAAGTCTACCAGTTTGACAACGGCCTCTTTTTCCACCCTTGCCAACAACCTCAAGCCTTGGTTTATTTGTCCTTTTTCTCCTTCCATCTATCCTCTTTTTGGAGCTCAGTTTTATATTCTCAGTATATTTTATCATCAATATTAAACATATCATTGTCCTTGGCATTAAGTTTTAGTATTAAATTTGGTTGATAGCATGATGTGACTTCTTATTAGGACATTTTCCCAGCTCCCCAGCTTTCAGCAACGACACAAATGAAATCTCAATTTGCATGTATTTTACCAGAAATGTAAGCCCGGTCTTTTAAAAGAAGGCATTCTCCTGGGATTTTTTTTTTTTTTAATATACTGAGATCTCAGCAAGTCAGAGCAATTCAAAATAAGCTCTATCTGCAAGCACAGACACAGCCCAAGTGTTATCACGGGGAGACAGCATGAGCAAAGTTCCCTCTAGCACACAAACTGGTGGCTGCCATCCAACAACAACTGGGAAAATTGTAAAATTCAAGTGACAGTTCTTCTGAGGGCATGTTCTCGAGCCCAGGGAAGACAGGTGAAATCCTTGTGTTGTGTTAGAAAGCTTTGGATCGGAACTTAGGATGTATCCCACACAGCCAGCTCCATTTAAGAGTGACTAAACCTTTTAACAACTGTTTCAAAAAGACAATTTTGCCAGCTTTACTCTGAGGGGGGAAAAAAATGAAATAAAATCATGCTATTGTCCCCATCTCCATCCCAGCATTCCAGCTGTCACCTGTATTGCTAATGCAAGAGTCTCTGGTCTCATGCTGTACACACACCCGTGTCCACTCCCTGCTATAGGCACTCTGGTCATTTACACTCACACACATCCCTTCGTGTTTACTGAACCGGGGAGACAGACATTAAGATAGAAAAAGATTCACTTAAGATTAGAAAAGAGAAAAAAAAAAAAAGTAAAACCGGTATTTTGTAAGAAAGATCAGTTTTGTCCTGTCCTGATTTTGTATTTGATTAATGCAAATCAATTTATGAAAGCTATTATGGAAAACCCTGGTACTTTTCTAGAAATGAGACACGGGAAATTAAGGATTTCTAATTCTGTAGGTCTCTGACCATGGGGCTTATGCAGACCTCTACTGCAAGAATATGAATCCCATTGTGCTAACCTTAGAAACATCTGCAGTCCCAGTCAGTGACCTAGAAAGACTGGTAGAAAAGCTAGAACCACCCAAAGAACTCTTCCTTGTGTCTTAAGGAGCCTTTCAGGTGACTTGGGAGACTGAGTACGCAGAGACGAGAACATGCACCGCGTGGGGCTTTCCAAGTCAAAAACTGCTTTCTAACAGCACGTGCTTTTATGGGCTGGCAATTGTCCAGTGAAGAAGTGCACGCTCCTCAGGGCAATGCTGTTGCCAATTCTTAAGCAAACACCATTCCAAGAACACCTCGGGACCCACCACTGCCCCGTTGGTGGCCTGCACAGCTACGTTTCTCCTCCTCGTGAAAGCACAGCTCTCCATCAGTACAAGGAGTTCCTCCTGCAACCAGGGGTGCTGTATTTAATCACAACTCACACAGCTCTGACCACACAACAACAGAACATCAACACATCAGAAACGTCGAGGCATCGCTGGCTTCCAGCACCAAAAGACCCCTGCAGAAAGCTAATGCTGTTTCTGGTTTGGTGCTTGTTTGTTTGTTTTCAAGGAAGCTGAAGCTACTGTCCACTGTGAGGATGGATTTTCTGAATGACAGCTTTATAATCAGCACCATTACTCTTTTATCATAATGGAAATGCTAAAGGAGAGCTGCAGGGGAAAAAAAAACAACTCACCTTACACTACCAATTCAGCCAAAGAACATCGCCATTTTCAAATCCAGTTTCCAGATCCCTAGAGATCTGATCAGAGTGCAGTGTTTGAATACTCTATATAGTCACACACCTTACAAGGTTGGTTTTCTACTTTTTGTTCTAAACTTCCTTCTTTACGTTTTAAGAAAATTCCCAATTTTTTAAAACATTTGCTTTTAAAAGATACTTTGAATTACTTATCTACCATGAATTCAACATGTAACCCTAAAGAGTCTTTTCGCTCTTTCATTTTTTTTACCTCATTTTTTTACCTCTCCTCATGTTGCTTCTTTCACTAATAATTCTCAAACACAAGCCCCTTCAGTCCATTTGTATAGCATTACACAGCTAAAGCATGGCCAAACAAAGAGAATTCTTTACTCTTGTGCTAGGTTTGATCCATGATATTTAGTTTGCATGCACTACGCATCTTGCGTCCCGCTCTCCAACTCTTGGAAGTTTCTCCAGCAATATTCCTCTTCTCCAGACAATTTCAAGTCTAAAAATACAAGCGTCACCGTGACACGAGTCTGTCACACAGATTACTATGGATGAGTTCACTTTTCCATGTGTTGCCCACCTGTGCCAATCTCATTTACTTCACATGTGATTAGGGAAGACTGAATTATCTATGCAGTGGCACGAAATGGTTAATAAGTGCTGCCCTATTAGAATCATTGAGGTGTCTCCTTAAACAGCCTCTTAATATTTTATGAAGGCATTAAAAAAAAAAAAGATACTGTTTGAGCATTTGGCTAAGAGAGAACAGCTCATCTTGGAATGGATGCAAAAGCATCCACATTGAGAGCTGCCCTGAGGAGAAGGACTTGGGGGTGTTCATGGATGAGAAGCTCAACATGAGCCAGCAGTGTGCACTGACAGCCCAGAGAGCCAACCCCATCCTGGGCTGCATCAGGAGAAGTGTGGCCAGCAGGTCACGGGAGGTGATTCTGCCCCTCTGCTCTGCTCTGGTGAGACCCCACCTGGAGCTCTGTGTCCAGCTCTGGAGTCCTCAGCACAGGAAGGACATGGACCTGTTGGAACGGGTCCAGAGGAAGGGCATGAAAATGATCAGAGAGATAGAGCATCTCTGCTATGAAGACAGGCTGGGAGAGGGGTTTTTGAGCCTGGAGAAGAGAAAGCTCCAGGGAGACCTTATAGCAGCCTTCCAGTACCTGAAGGGAGCTACAGGAGAGCTGGGAGGGACTCTTTGTCAGGGAGTGCAGTGACAGGACAAGGGGGAACGGTTTTAAACTGAAAGAGGGGAGATTTAGATTAGATACTAGGAAAACATTCCTTCCTGTGAGGGTGGTGAGGCACTGGAACAGGTTGCCCAGAGAAGCTGTGGCTGCCCCATCCCTGGAGGGGTTCAAGGCCAGGCTGGATGGGGCTTGGAGCAACCTGGTCTGGTGGGAGGTGTCCCTGCCCAGGGCAGGGGGGGTTGGGACTTAAATGATTTTTAACGTCTCTTCCAATCCAAACCGTTCTATGATTCAGACCACTGTGCAGGAGGGATACAAGGCTGCATCCAGAATCAGTTCCTTACCTTATTAGGGGATTTGAGGGGTGAGATAGCTATTTTATTTGGTGTCTGTTGTGTTGTTGTAGTCAAAGATGATCCAATGACTCCACTGTCAGAGATCGTTATTGTTTTTGGTGGTGTTCCTGGAGCAGACTGTGAAAGAACTCTACCTATAAATAATGAAAATACCATCAGTTCAAGTTATGTCTAAATTTTAAAGCAAAATTTTCTCTGCATATTGTGCACTTGAGTGTATTACATGGTAGGATGGATGTTGGCATTCTTTAAGTTAGATTTAGCAACAAAGAAGAAAACAAGTTGGCATTATTGCAAATAAGACAGTTTGCTGGGGCTTAAAAAGTTGAAATGTACATTGAGCTTTCTGCGACGTTCAGCTGAAATGTCTTTAAAGGTAGGAGAGCATCCTGAGGCCTGCAGCCCTGCAAAATACCTGTGCTGAGCACAAACATCCAGGCAGCTGGGCTGCTGCCAACAGACAGAGAAACTGAGCACCTGTGAGGGCTGCTTTCTTTTAAAACCTCAGCCCCCAGAAACGAGCTGTGTTACAGTGACCAAGAATAAGGTGTTTGGTCTGTTTACACCCAGCTCTAAGTTTGGGGTTTTTTTTTTCCCTTCTCCGTGTTGTTGGTTGTTGTCACTGCCTAACAGACTGTCTGCCACTCCTGTGAAAATATGGGTGGTGGCATAACTCTACAAACTATCTGCTTTTACAACTACGAAAAAGGTTAAACGTCAAAACCAAATCATGAAATCAGTCTTCAGAATATTGTGGAACTCCCAGAAAGGAAATCAGATTTTTATTTTTTCCATACTTCTATGATTCTTTCCAAAGAGTGCTTGACCACTGAGCTTTCCTCTGCTGCACTTTGCCTCCAAAACTCACTTCTGTCATTGCTTCTGTCACCCACTCTCTTTGTACTACGTTTATAAAAACAAGAAACAAACACACACCAGCATTCCACCCGAAACCTACCAGTGGCATGACAATTAAGCCAACTGGAACAAATAAGAAAAAGCATAATTCTCGTGGAAAGCTGCCTTCCTCTGAGGTCCACAGGCTCTAGGAATAACCCTCGCTTTTGTGCAGCCTAAGCAACAGTGCAGAGAGTTGCCAGCAGTTGCTAAAGCCACATGCAACCTGAAAAATGTCAGTCTGTAGGAATTTTACTATCTACAGTATTCAGTGCTTTAGATTTGCTTTGCTTTTTTCTTTTTTCCCTGGTGACAACTTTCACTTTCTCACTACATTCCCTCTACACCCCTTGGCATCAGCTTCCTAAACAGAATCTGGCTGCTTACATTGACATGTCCTTCAAATTTACATCTTCCACCTCAGTTTGCAGAAATTCCCAAGCAATTGAAAATACTTATCAGATTCATAAAAACACACATTAAAAAAAAAAAATCAAAACACAATACATAAATACTACACCTTCCCCAAAATGATGCCAGCCTCTCAAAGCTGGCAAGCTGTGCTGGCTGTTTGGGATGGTGAGCAGAAAGGCAGATGTTTAAAAAGATTTCCCTCTCAATTACAGAAGCATTTTCACCTCCCAGTGATGCTTCTTGCACAGGCTCAGGGACAGGTACTCTTGATTTTCCAACACATCAATCAAAAAACTGGAATTTTCTAACATATGTGATTTTTATATTGCAGATATGCTTTGACATGGACATTTCCCATCATTCTGGAGGCAGCAAACTTAAAAAAATGCTCTTGTTAGTATTACTTTTGTTGCAGTTCCTTATTGTTTACTAATTTTCATGTATTGCCAGACGAAAATGTAATACAGCTCCAAGTGGCTCATTTTGTTTTTTAATGGTTTTGAGTTTTTTTTTTTATTTTTTGTTTGTTTGGTTTGTTTTTTTAAACACACAAACAGCTTACTTCAAACACTTATAAACATAGTGAAGAAAATTTCTTATTCACAGGTCTGTACACCTGGTAGGGAATTTTTTGAGACGGGGGAAAAACTGGGGAGTGGGATGAGGAATCCTTCTTTCACTTGAAACACAGGTCAGGCTTCAGGGTGCAGCTCAAAGAAAAGATGACGTTTCAGTTACGCGTCATCCACTTGTATCTATCAAAGTTTTGAATACAGGAGACAGTTGCATTCTTTTTAAAACCAGCTCAAGTCCCAGTTCTGTAAAGGCTTAACAAATTCATTTAAATACGTGGATAAGAATTTAGGCTACTTGGGTTGGTCAGTCTGGAAGCAGTTGAAGACTGCCATAATAAACAAGTGATTACACTGTGGGTTTTTTATTATTTTCTTTTTAAAAGACACAAACATGGATTTGTTTTCCAAAGAGACAAGCCATTTATTTGCCTTAATGACTTTCTTAGACTCCTCTGCAATGTTTATTTTTGAAGTAGGCGAGCAACTGAACAGATTTATTCACTTTTTTTTTTACCACTCAAATGTTTTTTCCTGTTATTTGGATGTATTACATTAAGTCCAACTATAAGCAGATTAAAGTAATACAAGAGCATGTGTCTCCTTTTCCCCCTGTGTATTTATATACTGTATCTACAAATACTTTCCATTTATTGAGTAGCCTTTTCTCTGGCTGTGAGGTATTTTTTGATCCTCCCTAAAATCCAGAAAGCAAAAGCATCTTACAGTAAAAGCAAAATGATCAAACTCTACAATCACAAAGATAATTCTCAATGAGCAAAGCGTAAAGGCACCAACAACTGCATTTATCTGCTTCTACCCACAAAATTCTTTTTTTTTTTTTCCTTCTTCAATTGCTTGAGGTACATCAACAGAAACCACAGTAAAATCACTGAGACAGAAAAATTTCTACAATCACCATCTTTTTGAACAGCCTGTGAAAAATGGCAAAGCAAAACAAGTTGAAGTAGTACAACCTGCAATGACTGGTGACACTTGAGTGGTCTGCCCTGTGACAGCTTTGCTATTGATTGGTTTGGCAAAGATGAGCTTGGTGATCACTGGGCCAGAAGTTGGGGTTCGCGTCTTCTTCGCAATCTGAAAGATTGAGAAAAAAAAAAGACCTAAAGTAACTTGAGCATTTTGAATCTAAATTATTGTATTAAGTACATTAGAAAATAAAAAATGGCAGTATTTCCACATGTTAATTAGAAGAACAATTGTTTCTCACTACGGAGAGAACTAGGATATCATCCATGCCACTTTAGAAAACCAGCCAAAGCAGGATAGCCAAATCCCTTACAGCTTTTTCGTAAGATACCTTTCTGTGCAAACATACCTTCAAGATGCTGAAATTATTTTTTACATGCTGTTGGTCTGAATAAAAATGTTAAAATTAAATGCACGGCTCCCATTATTTGAAGCTTTAAAAAAGTAACGTATCTGTTTGTCACACAATCAGAACAAAACTCGTTCCTTGAGAGATTTAAATGACAACTGCTTCTCTGAAGCATCTCTTGACCTGCTGGGACATAGCAGCACGCTTTTACCCTGCAAACAGGAAAACAGCCTTCTGCAACAGTTCTCAAAAAGGATGTGGATCGTCAGTCCTTGAAAGTTTTGTTCTTGGCTAGTGAGTACCCAAATCAGTTGGCTACATCCAGGTACAAGGGGGGGGGGGGGGGTCGCTGCCGTGGAACGCATCCCGC